GCCGCGCTTCTGCCCTTATACAATTATAAATCTTCCGGTGCACGCCGTGCGATTCCACCACCCTCTTTTCGGCACGCGACGTCTTAGTCCTCTTTAGCGACAAATGTCCTCCACAGCCCTTATCATCGGGGAGCGTCAGGAGCCCGCTAGCTTAACACTACCAGAGGCCAGAAAGCATGCCCAGGTGTCAAAGAGAACTAGCGACATGCTAGATTCTTAGAGGCAGGGGCATCTCGACTGCTGGTGCAAAGCGCAACTTAGCCTCCCGGCAGATGGAGCGATAATCATTGTGGAAGGGCTGTAAAGCTTGTTGACGATCAGCGGCTCGTGCCGAGCAGCCCCACCAAGATACCTATCAAGTATGCGACCAGACCAGCTAGCAAAGTATCGAAGCTCCATCTTGAGCCAATGACGTTGGCAATAATGAATGTTCGTGGCGGGAGTGCATGTCAGGACTGCAAGCCATGGATGCTTCTGATCACATCGCTACATCCTGCAAGCTGCAAGCTGCAAGCTGTACAAAAACCTGTGACGAGGTGGCTGTGGTTGTTCTTGGCGCCCCATACTAGCCATCAGCTCGTGCAAACGAGGCTGGCTGACGCATGCCGTCATTGGAGCTCTTGGTGTTGATCGTACGGCAATGCCGATGCAGCATCGAATGACAGCAATTTGCCGCAGATGAGCTATCCCGGACTCTGAAAATCATCTCCGATCCTTCGTAGACGCCAAGATGCAGGGCAAAACGGAGAAGCTCCCAACGAGGGCACGGAGCTGGAGGACAATGGTGACGCATGTCTCACAGTTTCGCGAAAACCCCAAGTGTTCGCAGACACCATGTTGGCTGGTGCCACACGCATACGCAAGCATGACAGGATCAACGTCCCAGCACGGTGGGAGCCCTGAGACAGGTCGTCGGGGCAGTGAAACCACTCCCTTCTCATGGGGAAAACGCCAAGGTGAAGAAGGTGAGACCGGAGACTGGGAGATATGTCTACGAGACCGAGAAGGCTCCGGTACGTATTTTATGGAGAATTTTCAGGGATTAGAGCCAACAATATCAGACTCTGCGGAGAGTACATCGAAATGCACCAGAAGCTCACTGCAGCCAGAGTACCGGTGATCGGCAGAGATACTTACAGTCGCGGTTCGAGAAGGGCATTTACGCGTCTCCACTCAGGTACCTCGATGGGCGCCGGGATAACGTGGGACTACGAAGTACCGGAGCCTTCTCGGTCTCGCAGACATACTGCTGGACCATAACGGCTAGTACTCTCCGCTTTGGGCAAACAAGGTATAGCTCCATGGTGCGTGAATTATGTGATGTGCAGAAACGAGTCGATAGCTTCAGACACTGAGACCAGTCAGAGGCAATATCTGCAGTCTTGTGGGCCGGTGAGACACACAACGCGCCGACCCGTGCGTCTGCATACGGTTGTGCCATAGCATTGGATACCTCAGCGGGCGGACGGGGCATCCCGTCACGGCGCTAATGCAAACGCATCACACACACACCACCTTTCTTGCGTCACCGTGCCAGAAGAAGCGATACCCCGCACCCTGTAGCTCGCAGAAGCTTCATCCAGCCGCTTCCTAATGCACACGTCACGCCATTGACACTGCCAGGGGAATGTGAGACATTGGAGGAAGAGTGCTGATCACAGACATAAAATTGTTGAGTTTGAGGCAAATGCTACATATGTGGCACGGGACGTAACAGAGATCATCCCTTCTCTGCTCTGGTTGCAACAGGATCCCTGTCATTTTGCATCGCTAAATACCTGGGGCCGGTGAATGCAAGAGGGAGACAAAATCTGAGCCGCACCTAACAAAGCCTACTTAGCAGTGGTTGATGATTGTGCTCCAGCCTCGGTCAGTGGAAAAGATCTGCAATTCAAATTGTGAGCCACTTTTCCCCAGGGAGCATGCAGGCGGCAAACAAATCCTTACCTGTCCCCGCACCACGTCGTTGTTCTGGCACTTAATCATCACCTCGACAGCGTTGCTGTTGGACAGGGCGGAGTTAGCAAGAGAAGTACATATCGCCCGCTGCGGACTTGGGCTCTTATTGCACTCACTCTGCCACGAGTCGGCACGGCACGTGGAGCTGGAAGTTGTAGTCGTTGCACAGCCAGACGGACGACTCCCCCGCGCAGCCAGTGTTACTGCACCCACCTGCGCCTGGCCTTCCTGGAGGGGCAGCACAGTCGCCATTGCCAATGTTGTAGAGATATCTGATGACAGCGGCGGTGTTGAGAGCGCTGACCCAGGTGCCATAGTTGCACGTGTAATCCTGGTGAATTTGCAAAGTCGTCAGCACTTGTCTCTCCATGAGTCCGGTGCTTTCACTTGCAGGTGACTTACGCTTGAAGTTGGTGCACGTGCGTTGAGAAGGGCCAAGTTCTCCAAGTTCTGCTCCGTGGTCAGAGAGTTCTGACTATTGATGCCAAGCTCGCTGTCGTAGTTGGGGTTAAGCGCTGTGATGTTGTGGTAGATCTCCTGCAGGCAACTGTGAGCTTCCTTCGCAAGGGCCTTGGACTAGGCGCACAAACCTCGGCAGTCCCGGTCAAGACTATGGGCAGCTGGCCTAACTGCACTTGGCCTGTCCATGTGAGAGCATCTGTGATGCTGCCTGAGACTCCCTCATTGGTCGGCAGCGCCTGGTGGGCATCAATCAGTTAGTGTTGCCTCGATTTCGCCGATGCTCCAACGCGTAGAGCACTTACCGAGACGACAGTCAGCCCCGCCACCAAACTCAACGATGCGATGCTCTTCATTTCTTAACTCGAGGTGCGTGATAGAGTAGTGATTTGAGATTTCCGACAGCACAGACTTGCAGAGCTTACCGTAGCCCTCCATTTAATAGAGACAATCTGACACTGTACTTTGTTCGCCGTACCGTCCAACCCGTCTGACTTGGTGACGATAGCTCAAGAATGGAACCATCATGGTGCCTGCTAGCCGCCTGTCTTGTGTCATCCCATGTGTCCATGCCATATGAGCCCGTGATGCCACCAGCTGGCGACCGTACTCGTAGGTGTTCTACAACTGTCGGTAGATGTGACTTGTAAGGTAACGTTGCTGCATTTGGACCCATGCATGAACCCTGCATGTGCCCTGGGGGCCGAGCCGAGGCCATGGTACTCATCCGTACGAGGCCTGGGCGCACCAATCGGGCCTCGGCTCGGCGCTTCCACACGAACTCTGCCAATAACAGCGTGCCGCATTGATGGACTCAGTCCATTTGAGGCATAAAATTATCAGCCGAATACAGCCGAATTGATCATGGACGTTCGACGGCCTGCGTTGATCCCCTGTAGCTGCGTGGACGGCCTGCGGGACTTGAAGCAACGTCATACTTACCGTTGACTGGGTCCCGTATGCTTGACAGGGATGTATGCTGTCAGAATCTCACAACACGTGCCACGACGGGGCTTACATGTCCACCTTCCGGAGGATTACTCAACTATCAAGAATTGGTTTATACTGCTGCAGGTGACGTTGAGTCCTCCGCTAGATGGGTAGATCTAGGTATAATGGCGCAGAGTGCTAGGATTCAATTGTTACTCATCCAGCAAGGCTCCATTGGCAGGTGCTCGTTGCAGTGAATGCCAATCTCGAGAAGCATACATTGATCATAGGTATAAGTGTGTGCTTTGATGCAGATTGCCTCATGGTCCAAGTTCTATTCCACCACTCCACTTACCCTCTAATCTGAGTACGGATTTGCCCATAACTCGGCGAGGACTAGCTCCAGGTGGTGTGACAGCATCTCCTGCAATCACCGCCCACCATGCTCCTCTCCACGGTCCTAGCCACCTTCTTGGCCTCTGTGCCAGCTCTTGTGCAAGCCTACCCCCAGCCGGGCGCTTGCACTGGATACTGCTTCACGCATGACCCAGCTCTCTACCGCCGTCCCGACGGCAAGTACTTTCGCTTCTCGACGTTTCGTGGTATTGAGATCGTCACAGCCAACAACATTGCCGGTCCATGGACCAAGGTCGGCAGCGTCCTTCCCAATGGCAGCATCATCAACATGCCTGGGAACAAGGAGCTCTGGGTGAGAGACATCGATCCAATCACCTTTGCACCAAACGCGCCTCCGCTAACTCATAATTCATGCAAAGGCTCCTGATGTGGCCTACATCCAAGGCCAATACTACCTCTTCTACCCCGTCTCGACCTCCGGCTCGCAGACTTCTGCAATCGGCTACGCTACCTCTCCCAACATGGAGCCAGGCAGCTGGACTGACCAAGGCTCGATTCTGACCTCCGCGCCAGGCCAGACCCCATACAACGCCATCGACGCCAACCTCGTCCCCCACGCCAACGGCCGCGACTTCTACCTCCAGTGGGGCTCGTACTGGGACCAGATCTACCAGGCCCAGCTGTCCATCAACGGCCCTTACGTGTTCGCCTCGGGCAACCACAAGCGCATCGCGCACGACCCGCGCCGGTCCTCCATGGAAGGCCCTACAATCTTCTACAAGAAGGGCTACTACTGGCTGTTCCTCAGCCTGGGCGCGTGCTGCACGTACACCCCCAAGCCGGCGGACGAGTACCACGTCAACTTGTGCCGCAGCACGAGTCCCTCGGGCCCATTCGTGGACAAGGCGGGCAAGTCTTGCCAGGATGGCGGCGGCACCAACTTCATCCACACGCATGATCGCGTGTATGCTGCTGGTGGGCAGGGAGTGTTCACTGACCCGACGCTCGGAGACGTGTTCTACTATCATTACCGTAAGCATTCTTCACCTCCTACTCATGGCAGCCATGCGAACTAACAAGATCATTTCGCTCGCCAGTGGACCCGGATGCGGTGGACTACAATAGCGCCAAGTTTGGCTGGAATGTTATCAACTGGAGCGCGGACTGGCCGACCATTTGAGGTGGAGACCTCGTTGTCGAGAGGTCCATATTTTTTTCGCCACGGGGGCTCATCGTCAGGAGACTATCTTATGGTATATACTTGTCGAAACAGCTTTCCGTTTAAGAGAATCCATTGTTGCCCAAGAATCTCGCATTTGTCTCTGAATATGGTGAATCTCCCATCAACCGGCAATCTCCCGCTACCCAAAGCCGAGCTCATATATGCAGACCAGTTTATATCTTTGACGGACGATAAGCATGCCATGAACGCTAGGAAGCAAGCTGGTGCTTAGGAAAGTCCTCCAACAACAAGGCCGGGATTTCCTTTCTCATCTTCTCCACGAAGGGCTGCATCATGTCTCTGAGACTACACTGATGCACCAAGCAGTGCTCATTCGCCGTCTCGTCCGCTGTTGCGATTTCGCGTGGCCCGCGCCATGACAAGTGCGGCAGGCCTTCTCTGATGGCGGCGTCGAGCTTCTTCGCACTGATGCCGTAGAAAGGGCGGTTCGGCTGGCCATTGCTGCTGAAGACATCCATGCCGAGATGATTCACCAGGAAGCGCACGAGCTGGCCGAGCAGCATCGAGGAACACTGAGCGCTGAGGTCTGGCTGGGCTGGACACTGCCAGGCCGGGTCGATCAGGGAGTCGCGCAGCAAGAGGGTGTTGTCCAGGAAATCCTCAATCGCCTTGTGCCTGGCGTTGTCAATGGCATCTGAGCACGAAAGAGCGGCCGGAGTCATTAGCATTCACACGGTATCAAACATGGACCGGTGGTGGTCAATCAGACTTACAGACAAAAGCACCGGGGAAGGGCAGCGACATCCCCTCCATCGGGCTTTCAGACATGTATATCGCAAGGGCTGCCAGGTCGGTGAATGTCTCGGGCCTGGCGAAGACCCATGCGACGAACAGCCACATGACGCTTTCTCTTCCGTGGTGTGCGGGCGGTTTAGTGGCCGGGTCCTGCTCCAGGGCGTTGATCCAGGCGGACACGGCACTGTCCGTGGCCTCGTGGCACTTGTAGTAGTCGACCAGGACCGCAATCTGGGTCAGCATATCGAGCGTGACCTGCTATGGTGTGTTCTCGCTGCGCGCGTGCAGTATGCTGAGCAGGATGAGGACCGCCGTGGCATCCCATTTGTGCTGCTCGACCTCGAGCCTTGCCCCTTCATTACGTGGTAGCTGCCTTCGTGGCCCGTTGAAGGTCCGGCTCCAGATTGGCGACGCGGCGCTGAGACATCGCGACGAGACTCGGAAGCGGTACTCGTCCTTTGCCTCCTCTCTGTCATTTGCAGGATCTACCTTTTGGGGGAGGTTAGTCTGCCCGTTGCACCTTGATCTACTTGGACGTCCCTGACCTGCTCTTCGCCTTGCCGGGGGTGCCCCTGTAACTGGCTCTGCGGGTCAGACGTATTGCTGCCTGTTTGCGGTCTTTAGAACAAAGTCGACATCACCATTGGGATCGATCTCGATGCGTGAAGTGCTGGGCTCGAATTGGGGGAAACCCGGTGTCTGCGCATCAATGGCGTCGAGCATCATCAGGGTGCTTGTGGTTGATGTGGTGCGGGGGTTATGACGAGATTGTGGCTGCACGTGTGGCAGGAGATTCGGTCGAGGCCTGAGGAGCTGCTTAGTGAGTGAAGTCTGGCTGCCAAGGGGGCCTGCCAGGCGCCGGGGGGGCATTGAGCGTGTTGCAATCTGGTCACAGCTAGTGGAGCCTCAAGCCTAGACTGCTAGGGTGCAGCACACCACAGCTCCAGGGGTCATTCCGTCTATTGAATGCCGTGCATCGTGTGTTGTCACTCAGATCATCGGTACGTCATCTGAACGGCATTTTCCATGGGCGTCCCAGAGCTGTTCCCAAGCTTGTCAGTGTCCCTTCGTTGCCAAGCAAACTTCCCGAGACATGCTGTGGTTTTTATCGGGTTCTTCATACCTGTCCCGTGCCTCCTCGTCCCAGCCTTCGTCCACAAGGGGACTCGGGTCACGCTCAGCAGCCCTGGCCGATTGCCCGTGTCTGAAATTTCCTGGCAGCCAGACGACAGGCAAGCGCAGGCTTGATTAAGACGGGCAGTGACGCCGAGTAGATAAGAGTTCGGGGTCTGGGAAGGCTGACATTGTGGGAGCTTACCATGGTCATGGAACTATTGCTCGTGAAAGCTGCTGGCCAGAGAATTCGCTGTCCAAGGAAGCAAGACAGCCTGTCTTGCCTGCAATGGTAACCCCGGCGGATGTCTCGTGCGGGTATTCGCGGGATCACGTACGAATGGAAACCGTTCGTATCAGGAGTGGCGTCAGCTCTAGTCTGGGGTATCCTGGTTCCGGGCAGTTTGAGCTCATCAGTCGCCGCGGCAAGGCAAGACTTCAGGGGGCCTTGTCAGCCCCACCGTCACCACGCTCCGCCGATCTTCCGAAAACTCACCAAGCAGTGCACAGGCCGGACAGCCGACGGATGACAAAGCTCAGAGACGCCCTACCGGTACAATTTTAGAGTTGCGACCTGTGGCTGCAAGGCGCGAGTGCACCCTGTGAAAGCATCCCAGAGCAAGGAAGCTGAGCCAAAAATTGACGTTGAGGCTGTCGGTGTTGCCCCCGGACTCTCGTCCTATCATGTAGGAGCACCACCAACCTATTGCTGGGCTCGCTCTTGGCAGTAGCCTATCTTGCTTCACATGGGAATTTTCACGGAGAATAGCCCGTGACGAAGACTATCAGCAGCAATGCTGACCGTTATGGAGATCCCGCCCGCTAGCCGCGTCATGCCATCAGCCCTAAATCTGCTCGTGTCTTCGGGGTTTGGGTCTGGCGTCAGCCGCTTGACCCCGTCGCCATATGAGCGAGGCCATGACAACCTCGGCGTGGCGGTGGATTGGCATGAGACACTGTTGGCGACATGCTTGCGGGGTCAATGCAATGACAGGCTAGCCCCGCTCCTCGCAGAGATGGTCGTCGATAATTAAAGTTCTTGGAGCTCCTTCCGTTTGGACTTTTCCTCTCTGCATCTCTTTTCCGTCCAAGACTGCTGGAGCTATTGGAGTTCGCAATCCGCGATGGAGAGCCTCACGCTGACAAGCAGCGGCATAGTCGCTCTGGTTGCCACCGGAGGAGTGGTCCTCCTGCTCGGGCAGGTGAGTAGCAGCTCGGAGATGCAAAAGACAAAAAGCTTACCGGGATTCATCACCAACCTCATGGCTGACACGATCTCTTCCATCAGAAGTTGTACAAGGCATACGTCGGGCCGCTGTCAAAGATCCCAGGGCCGTGGTACGCGCCATGGACGGATCTCGTAAACACCTACTCCGCTCTGACTGCACAGAAGCACCTTTACGCACTCCGACTGCATGAGAAATATGGTTCATCTGCCCTCAGCCTCGTTATGCACAGGTGCAGGCTGCTGACGTGACTCCCTACAGGTCCCGTCGTCCGCATCGGCCCCAACGAGCTCCTTGTCAATAGTGCCGCGGGCGCCGCGACCATCCACCAAGTCAAGCGCCCTTTCCTCAAGAGCTCATGGTACAGGAAGTTCCTCCCAGGCGTCGAGAACATCTTCAACACCATAAATCCAGAGTTTCACCGTCGCCACCGTCGCCTCCTAGCCTCTCCGCTGTCAGAAAGCTCCCTGCAGACCGTATTCCTCCCGCGCATCGAGGCACACTTTGACCTTGCCATCTCCAAGATGCAGCACGACATCAACACCCAGGGATACACGGACGTCGCCAAGTGGTTCCTGTTCCTGACCAGCGATGTCATCGGCGAGTTGTCCTTTGGCGACTCATTCCACATGCTCGAGCGCAACGAGATGAACCAGTATATCCGCGATCTGCAAGGACACAAGGTCGTCAGGGGCCTACGCCTCGCGTTTGGATCGATAGCATCGTCGCCGCTGTCGGGGTTCCTCCCCGGCTTCAGAGCGCTGCGTAAACTCAATGAGCGCAACCGCATGTATGCCACGCAGTCGATTGAGCGGCACAAGGCGCTCGTCGAGAAGCAGCAGCTGGATCCCGAGAAGGCCGGCAGTGATGCGGGAGCCAAGGCAACGGGGGTTTACCCGACGCTGTTCCAGAAGATGTACAAGGCCAACGACGAGAACGGAGAGACGCTGACGGCCAAGGAGCTCGTGGACGACGCGGGCATATTCATCATCGCGGGCAGCGACACGTCGTCCACCACGCTGACCTTCTTGGTTTGGGCAGTGTGTCGACACCCGGAGATCCAGAAGGCGCTGGTCGAGGAAGTGGCCGCCCTGCCGGAAGGCTACACGCAGCAGGACCTCAAAGACTTGAAGTTCTTGAACCTGGTGATCCAGGAGACGTTGCGGCTCTATGCGGCTGCGCCAAGTGCGCTGCCCAGGGTTGTTCCGCCGTCCGGCGCGGAGATTGACGGGTACTGGCTCCCCGGTGGCGGCGTGGTCAACACCACTACGTATGCGCTTCATCGGGATGAAAAGGTGTTCCCAGACCCGGACAAGTTTAATCCTTGGCGGTGGAAGAACCCGACCAAGGAGATGAAGAATGCATGGATGCCGTTTGGAGGTGGCACACGGAGTAAGTTTGTGGCGCGCGCCCTGGCGTGGCCATCATAGGCATGTGGTCATGCGCAGTCTGAAAGAATGTGCTGACAAGCGGCTCGTCACATAGCATGCGTTGGAATCCATCTGGCTTACATCGAGATCCGGCTCGGTGTAGCCAGGTTCTTCCGCGAGTTTCCCCACGCCAAAATCTCGACGCGCGAGGGCATGTCGGACGACGACATGAAGGAAGTGGTGTTTTTCCTGTTGTCTCCGAAAGGCAAGCGGTGTCTCATCGAGGCATGAGGTGCAGTCCGTCCGTTGTAGCATGCGGGTTACATGAGGTCTTCGTGTCCAAGAAAACACAGGAGTGGAGACTGATGAGACGTTGTGGCTGTTTTGGGTACTACGTGCAGATTCAGAAGCATGACACGTTGGATAGTTATACAGGTCATGTTTGGAAAAGGCCGGCCAGGCTTCGGAAGCCTTCTCTATTCCTTAGTATTATGATTGATCTTTTACGATGGCTGTGCCTGAGGATCAGATGATGCCACTGATGTGTAGTGTCGGAGGCGAGGTGAAGGTACTTGTCCTATTGAGTCGCTTGGGCCTGTGAGTGCACCTATCAAAACCCGTGTCTCATATAACAACATGATGGCTGGCCTGCTGAATGGAACCCCTGTCGCATAGCATTCGTTGCCCCCTGAACTCTGTGCCAGCCCGCAGGATCACGACAGCCCCGGTCCTCAGGACGCAAGGGTGATTGCCGATAGACTACATTAGTGTGCTGCACCACGATGATGCACCTGACGCACTGCAGTAGTGGGAGCCGTACCTGGCTCTCAGCCGCAAATCCCCCTGAAGCTTCCTGTCGTTCTTGTGCGGGGCTTTTGGTCCCATTCGCGCTCTGATGCCTGCCGACACCTCGCCGTGTGTAGAGAACAACCTAATCGCAGCTACTCGTTGAGCATCCGGACCCCTATGGCTGGGACAAAAGGTCCAGGTGCGTGAGCTATCGAGAGCTTGGCTGTCATGATGATTCGGGAGGTATTTTGCACTGCTGCCCATGTGACTTTGAAGGCCAGCGGGTCGCTATTCGCATTTGCGCTCGAGACGTCAGGTCGTGACGAGGGTTGCGGCGGGCTGTGGTGGCAGGTAGTTCTTTGTGTAAACGACGATATGCTTTCGTGACCCGTGGACCGGAGCGCAACCACTTGGCCCAAGCAGCTAAACGACCTGCTGTATCTCAGCCCGGCAGAAGTGGATCTCATGACGCCCCAAACACCGTTGAACACCGAGCGTATGAAGACTGCGCCCGAATTGCAAGGCGATCGTTCCAGGAGCCTTTTCGCGCAGGTCGTTTGGCTGTTCCATCATTGGTTATTAATGAGTGTGGATTGTCGAAAGGCTTACCAATCTCGAGTCAATAGCGACCAAAGATGAAGAGCTCAGATGTTGCATTGCTATCTGGGAGAAAAGGACAGCTATTTGAACACTTCATGTCCATACGGAGTCATGTCTTAGTCAAAAGCCAGCAGCTGGTCGAATTATGTTTCAGCCTTACTACATGATTAGGGCGTTAAGTCTATGACGACTGGTACAATGGCTCCGAGGGTCAATGCTGTGATATGAGACATGCATAACATCTGCCAGCACTGCGCCCATTTCTCGCATCATCACCGGCGGGAGAGGACGGGCGCGTACGCAAACGTGGCTAGACCACCAGCGGCGTACATTCATCATTCGTTCCATACCACAGCCCGACGTCCTTCCTGAGAGACAGTGCTTCAGGTAATGCATGGCATACGGTGCGTCATTGACCCTACCGGAGTGGTGCGTGGTGCGATCGGCGACAGGCGACAGATTCACTGCAACAGGCTTAGTGTAGACAGCGATGAGCTGTGATAAGCTGCGCTGACCGGACCCAACCCGTAGGGCAGTAGGTTAAGAAGCCACTTCTAGACGAACCCGACCAACGGGCTGATTATGCTATCTTCTAGACGTCGCTACCTGAATTATTAAAGCCGCGCCCCTAACAAGCGAGCATGATATATCACATAAGTGTTTGAAGTCGACTTTTACGAGCTATCTCACCGTCGTATCCAGACGATTGATTAGGTGGGCATAGGAATACATTCTGCGAGTGTAGCTGCTGCGCTTCCGTTCAGGCATCACACCTTCGTCATGTATTGAAGAAAAGGGAAGCCGTTCTATCTGTATGTATACGGACAAGGGAACAAACAAAAGCTGCGGAAAACTTGGGCACGCAGAAGTTTGGATGCATTACAATATTGTCTCAATCCACGTCTCAGGCAACAATATTCAGGACGAAAACTTTGTGATAAACATAAGTCTCATAGCTGTAAACAAATTGCGTCGTTAATAACAATTCAAATAATATACAAATAGCGACGCTAAGACAGTGCAGAGAGAAAGTCTTTATGCAGCTCACTCTACATCGCACGTTCTTACAAGACTTTGTGCCTGTTACTATAAGCAGGCCGGACTTCACTACTGGACTAGCACTACTTCTGGCGAGCAAGTGGACGCCATGCCAAAACCTGTCGTTGTCATTGTGCCTGGGGCGTGGCTCAAACCTATCTGCCACGACACATTCATCCATGAACTGACGACCCTTGGATACGAAGCCTTTTGTGTGGCCTTGCCGACGGTCGGTAGCACAAGAGATCCGCCTCCGGCCCACATGATGACGTTGCAGCAGTGCAGCAGGCTTTAAGTTCGGTCGCAATGGAGGGAAAAAAGGCTCTTGTGGTTGCGCACTCGTCAGGCGGGCTTATAAGCAGCAATGCGGTCGTCGGACAGCACAATGTCGTGGGCTTGATATACCTTGCTGCCTTCTTAGTGCAGAAGGGCGAAAGCCTTATGGATTTGCTTGGAGGCCAGCCTCTCCCTACTGTCTTATTCCACCCCGTAATTGAGTCAACTTCAAGGGTTCCACATGCCCCACATATGCAGTGTCGACCGTGCACACCTCGACGTCCTTCTCATTCCCACGTAGGATATGTCATATCCTACGAAAGGTCTGTGCACGTAGTAGATCCGTCTCATTCCAGCCCCTTTTCTCAGTAGATTTGAGTCCACTCTTAACCCCAAATTTACCCAGTTTCTTCACTAGATACGACCCACCGACAGTCCAGAATGCCGGTACTACGAGGCCGGAAGGTAACAGTAGCCCCGACCTGGTCTTCACGTACCTGCAACTCTCCGCCGATCTGGAATATCATGTCCTCATCTGCCGCAGAAGCGAGTGCCGACACGCTATCTCACCAGATGCATTTCCCTCAACCGATGCCCCGTGCAAAGCTTTGTTGTAGCAAATCAAGCCTGTCTTCGCGGCGATGGCGTTAACAGCCACACACAACCGTAAGACCTTACGGAGAACGTGAGGAATTGCAAGATGCGCATTGTATGGTCGGCGTACTCTTGAGGTAATCTACTCCAAGACCCTAGCGTGTGTCTCGTTGAGTGTTGTCTGAATTGATGCGGGTGTTTTTCGTAGAGTGATACGATCACGACAACATTTGAGTGCATCGATCTGACAACAAACCCAGCGAAGCCATGTATCAAGATAAGCACATTCGCTGTTGAACTCTTCGTCAACGAATACGAAAAGCACATTCCACCGGCTTCCTACACGAGGCAGATTCTGAAAGCCTGATCTGGCTTTGTACATAGCTTTGTATGTCATCATTTATGAGGGTGGCTTGAACAGCAAGCCTAGGGAGTCGGATTCCTACTCCTCCTAACCTCGTATTCCTAGGTTAAGGATTCCTAGAAACCTCTAGGGGTTAAGGCTTTACCCTGGTCGCAGCTTGGAAGGCGATCATCGAGGCAGAGTGTCTTATAGGTGGCCTACTGTATTATTCCACGGGGAAATTGAGCTCACTTTCGGTCAAGTTCGCGGGGGACAGGGGGGGCGGGGCACGGGCCTCGGGGGAATTTTTGAGGTCAAAATTCCTTACCCCAGATTGAGGTCAAATTCTCGGGCGCGGATTGGGCGGCGGCGGCTAACCCCCGACCCGCCGCCAGCCCTAACCCCGCGGCTGTCGTGCACGTCTGTGGCCAGCCGGCGCAGGCGAGGGCGCAACACAACGACGACAAGGACGACGGCAGGCAGGTGCACCCAAGGCGCAGCGAGCACGGCACAGCAAGGCCCGTCACGCCACTCGCGGCACTCGCGGCACAGAAAGGCACTCATAGCACGCCCGAGAGGCAGCAGCTTCCGAGAGGGCAGCGGGAATGGGGAGGTAAGGCAATTGCTACATGGTCCATCTACGTACGCACAGAGGCCCGGCTGACCAGCTTGAGCAGGCGTGGCATAGGCACGCCCGCCACCAAGGCGTACTCGTCCGAGTCGTCCGAGTCGTCCGAGTCGTCCGAGAAGCGGGGAATCTCCCCCGGAAACTATGCGCTCACGCCACAAAAGTTACCCCCCAGGCGATCGCCAACCCCGAGCCCCAGCTGGAGCTGCCCTTGGGAGCGTGGCCAGGCTCAACGGCCGGGAGCTGGATGCGTTTCCGACTGCCTCGAAGGGGGAAAGCTGGCAGCCATAAAAACCTCAGCCGGACCACCGCAGGGACCGCGGCCACATGTCAGAAGCAAACCTGGCACCGGTTGTGCGCTTGACATGTCAAGATGCGTCCGTCGTGTCCGTTTGACGACTAAGACTCGGCTAGAAAGCGCTGCTGCTGGTCGCTGTCAAACACCCTGCAGACACACCATCATGAGATCTGGCGCGTGCCGATAGCCCTACAAGCGTCGAAGCTGCGGCGAGCCCGTGGTAACCATGCCGGGAGAGACGGGGCCGATCGATGTGTCGCTGCCCATCGCGATGCTGATTGCGGGCTTCTTTGCCGTCGCGATCTTCAACACTGTGGAGATTACCATCAGCATTTTCAGCCTCTTCCGCCGCAAGCAGGGGCTCTACTTCTGGAGCCTGCTCGTCGCGACATTCGGCACCTTCATCCACACCATCGCCGTCTTCCTGCGGTTCTTCGCGCTTGCGCCAAACCTGCCAATGTGCGTTGTCACCGTCGTCGGGTGGTGGGCCATGGTGACTGGCCAGTCTGTCGTGCTCTACTCGCGTCTGGGGCTGGTCAGGCCTGACCGCTGGAAGACTCGGCTCGTGGCCGTCATGATCGTCTTCAACTTTGTCGTCCTCCACATTCCCGTGTCGATCCTGTTCCTCGCCAGTAACAGCGGCAATCCCGACCCCTTCTTTCGCGCCTTTGATGTGTATGAAAAGATACAACTCGCCGGCTTCTTCCTCCAGGGGAGCGTCATATCCGGGCTGTACGTATGGGAGGCCGCCACGGGCTTCAAGCCTATCCTGGTGGTCAAGGCCACCACGGGACGGTGCATTCTCCGCCATCTCGTCATCCTCTTCGTCCTCACCGTCCTGCTCGACGCCAGTCTCCTCGCCACCGAATACAGCGGAAATTTCCAGATCCAGACGACATACAAGCCCGTCGTGTACAGCATCAAGCTCAAGATCGAGTTCGTCATCCTCAACGAGCTGATAGCCTTCACCCAGACGGGGAGGCGTCACGACCAATTCTTCCACACCGAAACGGACGAGGCGCCAAGGTCATCGCTGTCGGCCGGTGCCATTGCAATGGACGGCCCCAGTACGATATCGCTATTCAGCACGCAGCATGGGATGGGCGTAAGGCTGAAAAAAATGAACACCTTTCCGTCAGATACCGCCTTTAGCCGCAGAGATCTGGCAGGTTAAATTGCGTATAAGGAACCTGTTCCTGCGCCCGTTACTATAGACTTGAAGATACATACCCTGCCAATCACCCAATACTGCTTGTGGGTTCAATCCCTGTTGAATTTCAGTCCACTTGAAACCCTGGCACTGGTCAAAGTAGCTGCTAAGGATATGCATATGCCCTTGCTCCCGCTCAGTGCAACAATACGTATATTGGCAATATGGACCCCTCGCAATATTATTGTATTGCCAGGTGGTGCGTATTGTATTACACAATATGGCATTGTCGCTTACGAGTCATGACCTTGCTCTACGTCTTGCATCAGGCGAGGCAGATCGTCATAAACCAGCAGCCTACTCCATTTGACCCATGCTTCAGATCCACCAGGCGTATCCGGGAGATGCGGAGGCACAGTACTGTACTCAGCAGGCAACACTACCTGCCAATTACGGTGCTACGACTCTTTTGAAAACGGCACACCAACTCCACACGTGTCAGTTCTGCGCGCTTAGCCGCGCTACGTGCTGCAGAATCCAATATCCACTTCTTCGGTTTTGGCTTGCGCCACTGGTCTTAGATGGTCATCCAACGTTTCAACCAACTCCACGGACCAGATATCCCGGGAACAAGGAGATCATCGGACCTATGGACACCCAAGAAGATCATCAGGGGCCATATCAACATATGAAAAAGGGATTCAATCTCACTTCCCGCGAAAGAACAACCACTTGGTTCGCAAAAAACTCCAGTACCTCCGTAGTTACACATTCAATTGCTGCAACGCGCAGACCTGGCTCGTATCACCGTCACGTGTTACGTGTCACGAAGAGAGATGGATTCCTTGGGTGGCGCAATACTGATTCCATTATCGGACATTTCCGAGGTTGGGTCGACTCAGCGCCTACAAACATCGTTGCGGTTGGCGTTCCGTTGAATTGTCTCAGACGCCCATCCTGAAAAGCAAACCAGTGGGTAATACAAGCGCTAACGGACCCAGGCCGGGACTGGCTAACTGACCCAGTCGGTCAAACTTAAAAGTTACCGATGTGCAACAACTCAACTAGCAGACGCCTTGGCTTCTCCGCCTACTAGTACAGACTGATGGTCCAGTCTGACTGAAACAGACTGACCAACAGTCTGGTTCAATGATCTCAGACTAACTGTCAGACTAATAGTCTGCACCAAATTTGCTGCACGCTCTCTGAGCCAATTGAAGCCTAACCACTAAGGCCATCGGCACCATGGTAGCTTTATTGAGCTTAGCGATCCCCAACTGCTAGTACTGGTGGCGTTAGTGGTTAGGTTTCAATTGGCTTAGAGAGCGTGCAGGGTGTTTCAGCCCAAATTGATGAGATTATAACTTACGCAGTAGGAAAGACTTGCAAGAAGCCTAACTCCTGACCCACAGTGGCGACACTTTCTCGGCACCATATGCTCGCATGCCTCGTGTCAGCTGAATAAGGGGCTTGGGCTAGGTACCCCACCATATGAGTGCGCCACGACAATGACTTGCTTGCCTTTGTTGCTGAGTCTCTCGATTTCGGCACGGACGGCGGCCGTATCCTCCGCCACACCGACATCGACGTTCTTGGTGCTAACACTAGGTAGGGTCACGGCCGATGTCGAAAGACCACGGCTCGAGAGGTCCTTGCGAATCTCATCGAAAGCCCAAGGGCCGTGCCAGGCACCGGGTGGCCCCACCTGGACCGGCGCTTGCCACCACGACAGCGGCGATCGTTGCTGCCTCTGCGCGAGGATGCCAGACGCGAGCATGGCTTGGATGGCTTGGAGGCTCACAAGCGTGGGCGGTGCGACCTTGACGGCTTGGCTCCTGGAGAAGCAGTGCGTGGGAATAAAGATGTCGTTGCCGTCCGCGAGAAGGCACGCACAGCGCGAGTTTGTACTGGTCTGGTCTGGTCTGGTCTGATCTGCACAGGACAATCATCCACTCTTCCTTATCTCGCCTCGCCTCCTGTCCGTAGAAGCAGCAGCGACAAATACCGCCAGGCACGCGGGTTCTATGGCCAAAGGGATCTCCACCAGAACGTCGATCCTAGACTTCCCGTCGCGGCTTGTCTTCTTCTTCTCAGTCCTGGCAATCTCCAGCTTTCTTCTCCCCTTTTCCTGCTCGTGACCTTCCGGGCTGCTTCGCACTGTCGTTGTCCGCCACCGCCAGAGACCAGATGTGTAGCCATCTCCAAGCCAGGCACTTGCACGATTCGACCAGTCGAGTTTGCCCAGGAGGCAGCTGGCTGCTTCATAAACCGTGCACAGCACAACACGCCCGGTTGTTGGTCCGTCCACAGACATAATTCACCATCCCACCACCCCCGGGGCCCCTCGACCAAGATACCGGAACTCGGCCCAGCGCTACCAGGCTCCAGTACGGCAAGCCAGAAACCCCCCCGCATTAAAGCACAGCTCTCCATCCCATCTGCCTGCCCGCCGTTTCCCTTCCAGCAGTGGCTGTCGACTGCGCCAGTCATGGCCAGCTTTGGACGATCGTTCAAGGCGCCTTCGTATCTCTCGACCATGGCTGCACGACGACCGCCCATGCCAGGCCGCAGCCTGTCAAACAACTCGGTGCGGGACAAGTCATCCGACTCGTGCCCGTCATCGCCCGGCCCGTTGCTCTCGCCTGGCGACTTTCGGCACGAGGACATTGTCTTCTCGCCGCGGTCTTCCCCACCAAACCCGCCTACAGACTCGCAGCCATCTCCGAGGCTCTACGGCGACCATTTAATGCCGACAACTAGCGGTAAGTGTACCTGTCATCATTATTCATGGCTGGCTCTACGCCAGCTGCTCATTTCATCTCCCTCCACGAGTCATCCCGCAAGACACGCGACCTAGCCCGGCGTGGCGTGGCGTGGCACCAGCAGTCTGGGTCCGCCCGTCGAGCATCGTCAAAACCTAAGGCAAAGGGGCCAGGTCTCAGAACTTTCGCGGGGATAACTCTCCGCCCTTTTGGGGCGAGCGTTGGGCTCAATCAGTCATTCCAGTGCCGAAGCAGCAAGTGCTCTCAGTCTCTGGCCATCACCACCGAGTCTGCCTCTGGGATTTTCCTGGCGTACGTGGGAATTGCCGGACAGCAAGCACTACGACCGTCGTGAAGCCTCCCGCCTGGCCGGGACGGCGGCTCCATGCAAGCCACACTGCAATGGGTTGCTCGAACCTGTCGTGGCTGGCCAGTGTCAACACGGGAGGAGAGCGAGAGCGGCCAACGGCACCGCGCCTGACCAGCCGAAAAGGCGGGGTCGGCTTCATTAGGGTGGGCTCGCGGCAGTCGTGTGCCATGGCGGGAGGGGCCACAAGCTGCCAATCTCCATGCTGTCCTGCGCGCACCAGCACCATCACCCCGGCCCAGTGACGGCACGGAACTCTCTAGCAAGGGGCCATCCGGTTGTTGCTGCTGCTGCTGTTGGTGCTTGCGTTCCCTGCCCCAGAGACCCTGACCCCAAGCGAAACCTTGGAACCCACGCAGCCTGGTTGCTGGCCATTCATCGCTTCATCTCAAGGGCGTGCGACTCGGGCTCCGCCCCCCGGACAAAGGCACCGCTGGCACGCTCGCCACCGGAGCACCCAAGCTGTCGACGGGCCCAGCCGGCGCTGGGCGCCTGTCTGGATGGGGATGGGGTGCGAGGTGGTGTTTTTTTCTGCCTGTCGCTGGCCGTCGTCCTGGCGTCATAGTGGTCCCCACTGCCCCTGCCCGCCGAGCACATCGTGAACCCGCCATATCCGCGGCCACGAGCTGACTGGCTCGGGCTGGAACTGTTGTCCGGACAAAGAAATCAAAAACTAACCAATTCCCCGGTGCTTCGGTCTCTGCATCTTCCAGGCCGAGCCACTTCTCATCCACACTGGCACACCGACGACTCTCCTCTTCTCGAGACATTCCCGACTCCCTTGTCAGCAAGCAGCCGGCCTATCGCAATCCAGCTCCCACCAGCGAAGTCCACCGCTGCAGACGGCACGCCTGTCCGCACCCCGCCTGCACCACTCTCCGCCCGTGGCGATCTCCCTGGGTACGTTTCGCCGCCGAGATAAACATGACCGCCCCGGCACTTTTACTGTTCCTCCTGTTTGAATGCACTCGTCCCCACTCTCCGCAGCATCTGACAAAGAGCCCACGCCTGACTTAACACCCTGTTTTCCTATTTGGTAGAGGCTACTTTCCACTTCACGAGGAGCAGACCAGGACCTACCAACCTCATCCTTTTCACCTGGATGCCACAAAAGCACGCAAGCGATCAATCCAGATCGCTCACAAAGAGTCCCAGCCACCCACCACCCTCCCAACTTCTTCAAAGACTGCAGACTCCAGCTATTTCGCCGCCACTGCGCCCGCATCAGCATCGCCCACCATGGCTCGGTCGTCCAATCTCAAGGCTCCAGAGTCCAGCAGTAGCCGTATCCGCGCCTCGGCGGCCTCGCCAACATCGTCCAGAACCACTACCCCGGTAGCGGCTTACAACCCAAGACCATACTCCGAGAACCCGCTGCCCATGGGCAAATACTATCCTTCAAACTATGAGCAACGAAAGGCCGATAAACATGGCCGGCAGTTGTCGTCTTCGTCTTCGTCCAAACATGCGAGATCTCCTTCAGCTACTGGCTCATCCGGCCGTGCGCACATCGGTCCAGGACAACCCCGGCACGAGTCAGATGCGAAACGGAGGATCCAGCAGTACCAGCGGGATATGATTGCTCAAGCGACGTTGGCACTCAACAACGGGAGCCTGAGTCCAGCTGCATTGCAGTCGTTGAGGTCCATTGGTTTCGAAAGCATATCCAACTCGAATCCTTCCAAGCCTCGATTAGAGCCTCTCGGAAGTCCTGGGCCAGTCACACCCATGGAACTCGGAGGGTCCGATGGCTATCTCTCTGCTCATGGACCCGTAGATGCCGTTCAAGCTGAGGAGATAGCGAGAGTCATCAGAGCTGAAGATGAGCGCAAGCGAAGAGAGGGTGCCATCTCGCCAGCAGTCGAACTCGGACCCATCACTTTCTGACCTGGGCATAAGGAGCATACGGCAGCCGGGCATGAATCAGCAAGACTTGTGGTCTTGAGTTTCGGCCTTGGACAACCACTCAAAAGTCTTCAGTTTTGTTTTCAATATGCTTTTTTCAGGAACTCGACTTGTCTGTCTAGCCTTGGGAACGGCGAAAATGGTTCATTAGATTGGGGCAACTCAAGTGGGGTGCGCATGATCATACATGCGTAGTGCCGGCCACGCGAAAGTGCCCAGCGTTCTGCTTTCATTACTACAGCACATACCGGCGTCAATTTGGTGTATGATATCCCCCATTGTTGACTACTCCGCGTGCCACCTCCTTCTTTTGCGAGAAGCGCTGGCATGCGGGCATTGTCTTTTCTCTCGTTACAAAGCGTTGTTTCCGCTAGATTATGAAGAACATCATATTTAGAGCCACGGGCAATGGGTATTGTGGCCCCTGACAAAAGCTTCGAAAGCTCGTTACTCCAGACACATGCTAAATCTCAATGTGCATGCGAACTTGGACTTCTGCGGTAACCGCGCGTAGTGGTGAGTCATTCCATACGAAGCCAACCTACGAGGGCTTGCTGAATGTACCTGGTAGGGTACTAAGCACAACGTGGTAGAAGGTCTCTTGTCATGAAGAAAAGCAAGCACCACACATTTGGGGGACAGAAGATGCTGGTCGTGCTGGCATCGTTTGGCGCCCGAACTCCTGCATCTGTATGTTTCCAGTGGCTTGCACGACCTTTGCCAAAATTGAGGTATATGTGTCATTATCATTGCCCCAACAATTTCATCATCTCTTTCCATTGTCTTCCTGCATTGCGTCATCCCTTGTAGTGATTTCTCCCTCAGCCTGGCCGACAGTAATTTGCCGGGAAGTTGCCCCTGACACCCCCAATCTCGCCCTGCCACCAGTCCTGGTCCGTCGCTGTCTTCTTGACAATCTTGATCCGGTCGCCCTCCTAGAACGACAGGTCGCCGGAACCCTGGCTGGCGTAGTCGTACAGAGCTACCACGTATTCCGCTGGGGGCGGCGGCGGCGGCGCTGCCCTTGGTTTCGCAGGTGGCGGCGGTGGCGGTTTCTTCTTTGCAGCAGCAGCAGCTGCTGTCGCTATTGATGATGACGGTGGGCTTAGCGGGCTGGTGATGCTGCTGCTGCCGTTGTGGCTTGTGCTGGAGTGGCTTGAGGGGGTGCGGCCGAAGTAGTCCCCTCCATATGAGTTGTGCGGGCCGCGGCTGGGGACAGTGTGTCTGCTGAGGACAATGCGGATGAAGGAGATGTCCCCACTGCAGCGGCCTGGCCCAGGCGGGAGGCTGTTGTAAAGTCAGTGGCCATACCCGCGGAAAAGCTTGGCTTGCTGGTGATATCCGGCCTGGGGCTGATTGCCGTCGTTGAGGGGATGCGGTTGGGCCGTGTGGTGCTGTTGCTCGGGATGAGGCCTAGTGATGATGCTCGGCGCCCACTGTTGTTGTCGTCTTCTGAAGAGGGATTGTAGGCTGGCGCCACTGGCCGCCTATTTGTGGGTGTGAGTGCTGTCGAGTCTGTCCCGCCTGGTCTTGCTGTCATGCGAGCCCTCCTGCCCGCCACAACGCAGCCCAGGGCCTCGATCTGCGTTTTGATGGGATCGTGATCTGACGTCCACATCTCCACGACATTTTCCATGCCCGGAGGCGGGAGGGGGAAATGGAAGTCCTCACAGTAGGTGTGAAGAGTGGTGTAGTATAAACCCAGGAGCCTGTTCTGTATGACAACAAGAGTCGCCAGCATAGGCGGAAGCATGTTGAAAGCTGCAGCAATCATGGGCGGCAGGATTTCCTTGAGGAGTGAGTCGACTTCGTGGAAGGCCTGGTGCTCACGTCAGTCTCACGATGGCCGGGTCGCTGAGAGCAATAATCATTTTGCGCAGGATACTGACGTCTGACCTTGGCCCAAGCTCCGCCTCGGCTTTTGCGAGACTCTTGTCGTCCTTTGGCGTACGAGATGGCTTGCGTTGTAGTTTTGTCACGTCTGTCTGCACATTCTCGTAGTCGAGGCGCAGCTTCTCCCGTTTCTTGATGGTCTTGCGCACAGGCGATATGTAGTCCCTGGCCGCCGACACGGGCTTGACGACCTTGTCGTCCACAACCTCGATTTCCTCAAGCAAATCAGTCTTCAGCTCGTCGTGCGCCTCCCTAAGCCGGAGTGTGCGCTCGAGCAGCAGCTCTGGTGTTGCGTTGTGCGGCTTCGCCGTCTCGTCGGCAGCACCCACGATAGGATCATACAGGCTCTCAAGCTCTGTCACAATGCCCAGCTGGGCGTGTGCCAGTGAAATCCATGCTGCTCGCCACGAGCCTACTTGCTCCACAAGCTAAAGATTGAAAAGCATCGAACCATTAGTGAGGCTAATATGTGGTTGGCGAGAGACCGAGGAGTGAGTCGTACCCTAGTGAGTAGCTGCTCAGCATCGTCATAGTCCTTGAGCAGCACGGCTGTTTTTGCATTGTCGCCAGGATCCTTCTGTATCATGCGCCCAATCGAGCGCTGCATCGACTGCATCTTGGGAGGATTGAAGGGAAACACAAGACGATTTTGACGCTTTGAACTCAATTGAGATGCTGTCTCGCTCTACGAGAGAACAGAACCGCCGAGAGGGCCAAAACAGCAGAAATTATTCAATCGGTGCTGGCTGCAGGTCGTCAAAGAAATCATGTTTCGAGTAGGTGTTGCCCCACGCACGGTTGCTTATGAGCTGGGATCTGGGACAGAGACCACGCAATCACGAAGACGCATTAGCCGGCAGGTGACTGCTAGCTCGACGGGGCGGGTTGCAAGGTTGGTGCTTGTCAGAATCGCGCGTGGCGGTGCCTGGCCTGGATGTGTGGTTGTGAGGGGGCGGAAGCTTTGGAGAGGCGGGTGCGGAGGACAGCCGACTGCCTGGGCGTACTACGCAGTATGGTGGCTGTTGAGCGATGCAGGGATCGATGACTCCCAGCAGCGAGTCCACAGGATCGGCTTGCCTGCTTTGCTGCCTGCGCGGTGGCCGGCGAGCGAGCCAAGAAGTTCATGGCATCACACAAGCCGGGCGTGATTTCCCACAGCACCTCACCATGACTTAGGTACGCTACTTATACGTATTGAGAGCATGCGCAAGATACGCAACTAGCCGAAGATTGCTTGCTTGGCATCCGTCCGGAAGCTATTTCAAGCAGTAAGGGAGCGCTAAAATGCTCCTTCGCAGCCCAGAAGGTCCCACATGTGGCCTCTTGAACATCTACGTAGCAGCAGCTAACAACTTCCTGCTTGGATGGCTTCAGAAGTCGACCCTTGCACGATGTCTGCTTGAACCTTTCGACAGCTTGCTGGTACACAGCCTCCATCGCTCCGAGTCTATTGCAGGCCAGCTTCTGTACACTTCGATAGCTCTAGTCTCTCAAGTGTGGCAGACCGCTCCAGGCGTGCTCAGCACAGGTGCTTCGTCCAGGGTGGCTGCACGTGTCTTCGCGTCATTCCCCACCTTCTGGAAACCCTCTCTAAACGCGTGTTGTCCAGCGCCACTTCACGCGCCTCAGACGCCGTCCGTGGATGCTTGGGACCTCATGCCCCTCGTCGCCAGCCGCGAGTGGAATCGAAGCCGGGCTCGAGTAAGGCTGATGTGAAAAGCTGCAGCAAAGGCAGAGAGGTCGTGGTGCTGGCTGGACCACCGCCATGCAAAGCTCAGCAACGTCGCCGCCCACGGCATCCGGGGCCAGTTCAGCACCCGTCCATGAGTTCATCTGCCTGTTCACACACGATCTCCGCCGCAAGCAGAAAGATGGCAGGATGGCCGCCTCAAATACCACACGCACAACAGTCGCGTCATGGTTCATGACGAGCAGGGCAATACCGTGGGAGATACACATTGGCGCAAGGACCATGGCCTCGAAATCGGGGAGGTGCTTACTCTCGACCGTGGCGGCATCATCGTGGAAGTCGGAGACCTGGTAGTCACCCGAAATCAGGATCCCTCCGAGCTCGTCGACAAACGAATAAAAGAAAAGGTTGACCGTCTAGCTGCAGCGGCCGCCCGAAGACCAAATATCCCCCGGCCGCCGGCCGTGGGCTTGCCTACACCAACAAGGTCGCTGTACCCTCAGACAAGTGCAAAACCTCTACAACAGGTTGTTGGAACCCCAACAGGTCACCACGGGCGCGCGGTTATCCCCAAAGAATCGCCTTTCGAGCAGAGACAACGGTCAATGCCCGCCCCTCATGATGATGATCCTTCTCCTCCGACCAACGGCAAAAGCGAGCCGTGAGCCCGCCGAGCAAGAGCGGCTATGCACGGAGCCTTTTCGGTGCAACATTGTCACTGTCCAGCCAACCTATGAGCAGTGCACCTCTTCGTTCTCGGCCAGTCAATACTTCTTCCATGTATCGACCATCGCCCGTAGTCCTTCCGTCCTCCCCACCAGATGAGGAGGCGTCAGCTACCCCGAAATCGAGCCAACCATCAAGGCAGTCCAAAGCTCAAAGCAACAATATCGCCACTGGCTCTATGAGTGTCCAGGCTCGAGAAGCCCTGCCAAGCCTGCTCCAGACTAGGCCGCAGGAAAGGGCGGCGTCTAAAGCAGAGAAACTGGCTCGCTCGAGGCAAGTACTAACGAGCAAGGACGATGAGGAGTACATTATAATCGAGCCCAGTGCCAGAAAAATCGGGTCCGCTGTCAAGAAACGCGTATTGCCGGCACTACAGGAGACACTGGATCAGAACCAAATCTCTACAAAGGGCGATTCAACCACCAACCGTCAAGTGGATGTCATTGAGATTTCGTCTTCAAATGAAGCTCCAATGCCAAGTACATCAAAACGAAAGAAGAAGAGCCTTGAAAGGGAAGATGACGAGAAATTCGAAGAAGCTGAAGGACAAGACTCCAACCACACCACATCCCACGGAGCTGGCCAACCATGCAAATCCAGATCACGGCCCCTCGTCTGTGATATCTGCACAGTGTTCAGTAGATATAGAGGACGACCGGCCGACCACAGAGCTGCGTATCAAGCCACGCAAGAAGAGGGGCCTCTTGATGCTGGCACAGGGGAAGTCCGCCATCTCTAGCAGGCTGACAGGAACTCATGAATCTCTGAGCCAGCCAATCCTGTTTAACCTGGTCTCAGCGACCTTGCTTGCAACTTCGCTTTCCTGCACCTGTGCATGAGAATGCGGGCCATCATCCGTGAGAGTGATCAAATGTTGTTGCCCAAGCTCAGGGCAATGCACCTCCGATTCCCGTGCCGGCCGTCCGACATGCTGCTCTGCGGACGCTGCGCTAGGGGGCGGAAGCCGAGGATGCTACCGGAACGCTCTGAGCTCGCGTCCGGCACAAGGAGTTCGTCTATATTGTTTTGATTCTGAGAAGTGGCCATCCTCCTCGTCGAACTCACCACCAACTTCTGCCAGGGCCTCGGTCGCTTCAGTCTGGGGGTGTGAGCTCCCACTCCAGCTCGTGCACGCTAAACCCCCTCAACCTTTCTTTGGCTTGGCTCACCATGAGCAATATCTCAATAAGCTTTCTCATCGGCCTCTCTTTGAGGCTGGGCTAATTGTGTTCAGCAAACATCCGAGCAATTCATGCCCGCACAAAAAGTGCACAATAGTCTGCCGTTGGAGCAAGATCCGGGAGGGGGGCGACTGCGGTTTGTACGAGCGGCAGCAGGGATTTGTGATCAGTCATTGAACAGTTTGAGTTGGGCTTCCGTTACCTACCCGAACGTTACTTTGACAGACCATTGAGCTGCTGGGGCATAACGGAGGGATTGTATGCAGTCGTGGCTGGGCGGAGGGATCCGGCTGGGAGCTGGTCAGAGTGGAGCGGGCCTCAGGTACCCACTGGGTACCCTGCACTCATTGGAAAATACAAACATACATAACGTACTCCACAAGCGACCCGCCCACACAAGCGACCCGCCCACTTTCTAGGCATTTACACGACAATGTATAAGTGCATTCAACCACAACGCCTCAAATTAATCAAAACTATTTAGAATCCTCTTCTTCAGAGATAGACTCAACTTTCTGACACGTACGCGCATTATGACCGGGCTCCCCGCAGACGCCACAGCGTCGCGCGCGCGTCTCTGTCCTCCTCGCGCGACCACTATTCTGACTCGTTTCTGCCTGTAACTGCTGCGTCGCATCGATTTGATCCTTCAAGTCCTTTGCCTGATTAATTGTTAGGGATCCTCCTTTCTGTAGCTGCTTTCTCTTTGTACGGCGACGGCGGCTAAGGCGGTCATTTGCATCTCGAAGTTCGGCGAGTTCGTGGCGTACAAGGGTTTGCTCGTGCACCATCATTGCGATTCCTTTATTTAGCTGCCGTAAGCTTGCAATTATTGATGAAGGAGAGCTACCCTGATGCCGTACGATACGATTCTTGATGTATTCAGTCTGCGATTCGGCTTCAATCGGGTTGTTTGGCGTCTTCGAGACCCAGGGTGGCGGGAGGCCTGTAGAGGAACCTGGCGGTGTTGGCGTATGAGGCTTCACATCTAGCTGCGAAATGACGTATTCCGGGTCGTACGGTACTAGGCCAGTCGCTCTAAAGCCTGCCTGTATATTTGACTTCGAAATTGCAGCGTCGTACGCCTTGTAAAAGGCTGGGAGGAAGTCTTCCTTCGCGATGTGGGTAATGTGCGCCCGCATAAGACCTTCGATTTCGTTTCCGTACGCCCGTTTTAGAGGTCCGAAGCACCCGACATCGAGAGGCTGGAGCTTATGCGACGAATGAGCAGGCATACAGAGCGTGATTATATTCTGGTCCTTGCAGTACAGCTCGAAATCGACCGAGTGGTGGCTCTGGTGGCCGTCGAGAATGAGGAGCCGGTAAGCGCCCTTCGTACGGCTCTTTGTATAAAAGTCGAAGTGCTTTGCCCATTCTAGGCCTTTCTCGTTCGTCGTCCAGCCGTTTTCAGTAAGCGTAATTACCCAGTTAGGCGGTAGAGGGCTTTCGGACGTCCAGGAGTCGAGGTGGACCTTGCCTGCGAAGATGATGTACGGCGGGATCGAATTGCCGGACGCCCCGATGCCCTGGATTACTGTAACCCATTCCTGATTCCCCTGTTGTACGGCTCTTGGCTTGCCGCGTCGATCGGAGGTTGTAACGACAGTCTCGGCGGGAGATCTTGCCCATCGCGAAGCCTGTCTCGTCGAAGTTATAGATATCGTCGTCGTGTATCCCGTATTTCGCGATTATGTTTCGTACGAGTAAAAACCACGCGCGATACGCGTCCGGATCTTCGCAGAGGACTCTCTGATAGTCGATTCTTCGATTAAAACGCGTTCGGAGCTCAGGTCGTCGTCGTACGAAGTTTGTAGCCCAGTTCGTTCCGACACGCGGCGCGTCGCGTGCGCGGAGGAGTCGATCCGCCATTTCTCGAACACCACTAAGTCGCGGCGGAAATGATCGCGAATCTAGGTCGATTACGTATCGTACGATGCTCTCCTCTTCGTACGGGGTCAATTTCTGGTTATGTGGTCGGGTATCACGTTTGCGCTCTACGCCACGTCGTCGGTCTCGGAGGGTTGTACGTGGGACATTATAGATTGATGCAGCCTTTCGAACACTTAATTTCGGGTTTGATTGAAGCGCGTTTAGCGCTAAGATAAGGTCGTGTTCTTTAGATTGCGCCATAAGAGGTAATGGTGGGAGAATGAAGGAAAAGATTGAGGATTTGTTTAGAGGGAAGAAAGTGGGCGGGTCGCTTGTATGGGCGGGTCGCTTGTGGATTACGTTATGCGGGCGAGGGCGGACTGCGCCAAGGACCGCTTTGGTGGGGAGGCCTCGCAGTGAGGCAGGCTGACATGCCACGTCATGTGCATGCGCGCCTTACAAACTATTCAGCACTTCCTTGCTTATATGTGCAGTTGCATCATCATCAGCATGCAGGTTTACAGCTACAACAAACAATGACGTGGAGTATGCCACCGTGGATGGGTGAAGAAGGCGTCGAACCACACGCCATTCATGAGTTCATTTCGATTGCCCGCTTAGACCAAGGTGTGGTTCGACTTCAACCTCCCTGACAACAATCGAAGCTCCAAATCTGATCTCGAGACTGCTCGACAGCGCGTCCTTTGGAATCCACTGCCTCAAATATGGCGCAACAACATCCTCGATCTCATCGTTACCGTCGTCTGCTCAAGCGTTTGTACGAAGCCATCTTTCTACTGCAGAGATTAGGCCCTCCTGCGAGACCTCACACGATAATTCACTATGACACCCTGAATGGATTGGCCACCCAGCAGAGGTTTCTCAAAACCCTCGCCTTCATGGTTGATTTTAAGAAGGGCGGCGATACCACTGCGGCCATCGCAGTCGAAGAGACAGCCCAAGATTTCCATTTCGTGGTTGCTGTCAATGATCAGAGTCAAAAGGAAACAGCAAGGATGGTGCTCGAGAACTACTTAAACCAGCTGGTCAAGATTTTTGCGCTTCCCCCGGAGCAATATCATGAGCATGGAGACACAATTCTGCTGCACCGCGTCGCGCACTTTAGCAAGATCAGACTCAAAAAGGAGTTGAAACTCTTGCAATCGACTGCCAACAAGTGTATCAATTCTCTCCATGACTCGCAATCGAGCAGCGGTATGATACCATATCTCCCGGGGCTGGTCTTGTCGGCTCTAATCTTGTGTGCACAGCTCAAGGACTGATCAACTTCCTTCGTCTCCTCGGTGCTGACACCGGTAAGAATCCCGTCTTGAGCTGCCAAAGAGCTTATTCCGCGGAGAGTGACCCAGTGCTCAACGAAGCACGACATATTGGTCGCGATCCTGAAGATGGGAGCAATCCTCCCGCTGGCGTGGTGAACTTCAAGAAGCTGGTCCACTTTGTTCATCGCGTTGCAGCTCACCTGCGCTCAGTCAAACGCCTCATTGACGATGGAGCACGTCTGAAGCCTCTTCTAGAGCGCTACCGTGTGACAGCTGTGGGCTCTCGGACCCCGAGTCCACGTCCGGAAGTCGGTTCTCTGATCACGATAGATGGGATCCTCAAACGCATCTTGCCAGCCAACGATCCAAGGCATGAAGCCATGGCGACACAACTTAAGCAGATCAATAAACAGACAAGCCTCGAAGCGTGGATCCAGGACCGCTTCGCGCCAGAGGAGGCAGACAAGGGAAGCATTCACTGCGAGGTACACCTCCTTGAGCATTTCTACCAAAATAAGCTCAGGTTCGCAAGGGACGACCCGTACATCGCTTGCAGCAAGCCTTCTTGCGTCTGTTGTGAGCTGTACTTCCGGCACCATTCATTACAGTGTGCTCAGCTCAATACTCACGGGCGAGTGCACCCCAACTGGGCTCCGCCACTCCTCGCGGAAGGGATCAACGACGCCGCCTGGCCTGAGCAGCGGCACGTCCTAGGTGAGATTGCTCATGCTCTCGGGAACCGCGTCATCTCGCGCTTGGAACGGCTTGGTAATATCGCGCGGAACGGGGCGCTCTTCGACTCTCTCGATGGAAACACAGTCTCGGGAGTCGGCTTTGTCGAGTTCGCGGACGAAACGGACCTGACTGGAAATGAGAGGAACTCGAGTGGTAGTGAGGACAGCGATTCTGATCATTCAGGCGGTGCTCCGCTGTAGTTGCCAGGTCGCAGGATTGTTGGAGGTCAGACAGTGTGCATTAGCTTTTTCCTTATCCCACGGCGCGACCGACTTGGCCTAGGCCTCTTCCGGGAGAACCAGATCAAGGCTATGTCTGAACAACTGCAGAAGTGTCGTACGATATTAACACTCGTGATCAGCACAGCAACGCTGTAGGTATTTTTCACGTCGTATCAGAAGTCTTCTGATCACCATTTTAGGCAAAGCACGATTCACGGGCAGCGTGCCACTGCGGAGTTGAAGGCGGCGATCGCCGACAAGGAGCAAGCTCCCGCTGGTCGTGCTCGTGGGCGTGCCACTTGTTATGACGCCCGTGATGCTTCCGTGCATAGTGTTTCGGACCGTGGAGCCGGGGGCAGGTTGCACAAGCCAGCAGAACGACGGTAATGGCTAATGGCCTCATGATCGCCAACATGGTCGCCATGCTGTCGTGGTGCTTCCGCTTTGAGAAAACGCTGTCTTGAACTGGATGATGTCCATGGACCGAATGCGTCGCTGACACAGGCCAAGAGCGCTGGGAGCTTCCGAGACCCTTTGCAAGGGCGGCGCAAGGCGCAAACACTGGCCAGGCAAATAGCAGCCGTGTTAGAGTGCTCCGGGCTAGCTTGCCTCAGATTGCGTGCCCACTCTACAGACTCCGAAGACTATCTTTAGACACGAGCTGGGGCAGCCTAGGCCACGGCACTTTACGTCTAGCCTTTGCCCGAAGTCTGTTTGTACCAAGACAAGCATCCGGCTATGAGCCACGAATGGCAGTCCGAACTTTAGGATTATGTGATGAGGATCTTCAACGGAGTGACTCCAATCCTATGCGGGCCGAGAACAGCTACTTGTCCCCCTTGGGTACTCGCTGGGCCCTTGAACAAAACAAGTACCTGAGCGCTCGAGCACGCATTCAACTATGAGTCGCCGCATTTAGGACACGAGAGGCCGTGACGAAATGCTGAGTGTTTAGGAATATGCGGGACAATAACGATGACTGCATGCGTACAGACTGCATGCTGCGTGTGGTCGTCATGCTGCCAGAGGAGATCCCCGGCAAGTGGGTCCACGACACCAGTGGCCAGGCCTCATTATCCCTCATTTTTGCGCCAGGTGGGAACGACGCGAGCAGCCAGCAATGCGCATGACCTTAGCAACCATCCTCTCGGCCCGATAATACATCCGAAATTTATAAGAATTGATAAGGGTCTGGGGACGGCCCCCGCCCCCGCACCTCGCTCTCAGTGTCTCGAGATTCCAGTTATGGCTCAAGGGATCTAGCGCCAGATGATTGCGCTAGCAGACCATGACGTGATCGACCAGGCCGCTGACGGCAATGCTCACGGCGGGGCTCAGCGTCCTTCAGCTGCACGAGTGCCCTGCCTCAACCTTAAATCAACGCCCCCGCGTCATGGCGGAGCGGTCAATATCCACTTCTCATGGTCACTTCGACGTGGTTTATTCCATCATGGGATTTCAGCCTTCGATTACCAGCCGCGTCCGAATGGGCGACCATCTCTACCAGCTTCTGGGAGAATCCGGGGGGTGCATCACGCCATGGCCTGAAAGCCAAGGATGTGGAGAGCGTGACCAACTTGTTCGGGTGCTGGTTGTTCTGGCTATGCCACATAAGGTGACAAGTCGGATATGGCGTACCTGTGGAAGACAGTTGTTTGCGTTCTCGGCTTTGTGGAGCGAACTCAAGTCGCTGTTGGTGTTTGGCGTTATTACTTAGGCCTGGAAGCTGGGAAGCCCAAGGTTTGGACTCCTCCTCGTATGTCCGACCTTCGCTCTGGAGAAATCTGCGTATGCTACCGCTATGACCTTTCAAGAGTAGAGCGAAGGTCAAAGGGTTGGATGTCGATGATCCTATTTGACGTAGTAGGCCGCCAGAGGCCAGCGAACTTGCTGAGGATGCATCGATCGGGTGAGGGGAGCTGACCCGACAATGAGGTGAATTAGGACGAAAGTGGAAGTCAAAAGAGCGGCCTGCTGCCGAAGGAGGTGCTTGGTAAGACTGTGGAATGGCCTGCGTTGCTCAGCTCGTGTGTCGGCGAAAGGTTAGAACAGCAACTACTCCTGCTAGTGACCCTGCTGCTAATGTGCCGCATACAACAGAACCTCGCGACAGGCTGAAGGGAGCAAGGCATGGAAGTGCTGCTTACAGAGACGAGGATCGGATCGAGGAGGGCTGATCAGAATCAACCAGGCATTTTTGGCGATCTGACTGCGTTTCAGGACGTCTTAATGGACCGCGTCAAGACGCGCCAAGAAGTGTCTCGTGAAAGTGCAGCGCAGTCTGTGGCCTTGCGGCAGGCTCAGAGCTCAGACGCGAGCCAGCAACACAGTGCAGGCCACAGACTGCCACGAGCCGCGCCTCCAATAAGTCTGTACCAGGAGAAGTCTGCGGTGCCCCATCCGGCGACCACGCAGGCAGTCGTTGGTCGTTGCCGGTGTGCTCTGCCGTGCGTAACTCGTTAGAATAGGCCTTCGCTTTAGGACGCCGCGCATTGGTTGCCACACTGCATCAGACATCGCTGCACGGCCGAACGACTCTGCGTTCCTCCACAACGTGTCTGATATCATGCCATAGTACGTTCCATGCTTCCTCATACTGTGTCCTCGGCTCTCTGGACCTGCACAATGCTGTATCAGAAACGCAGACATCGGCTCCTTGGTTGTGCCGAAAACTTCGTGACTGCCCGTATCATCACAGGCGACAAAGCACCTGATGCGAATTCAGTTCTGCTGGGCCACTCACCCTCCTGTACTGGCAGGTCAAGACAACAGATGCGGCCGACCTCTCGCCTGTCTTATGCAGACCTTGCTGCCGCAAGGTCAATTTGATGTTGTGGAGTCAGTTCATCCGTGTGTCCCCACAAGTGTACGGAAGTCAGCCTAGCATCCCGGGACCGGGACCGGGTCCCGCAACGGTCACACTTGTCTGGCCGGCACCCTGCCGAGGCCTGCCAGCCATGCTGAATCTAATCCCTGATCTTCTGCCCTGTGTAACGACCCCGAGCTGATTGAACCCATATCCCACCTCAAGTGCACCGTCGGTTCCGCTTTTGCTTGGAAACCTATCCGCGACCTCCCAGCTCCTCGCGGGGATAGCTACCCATGGCCGACATCCCAAGTCTTCGGCTCTCCACAGCCGGCTCAGTTTCAGATCGACAACTTTGCTAGGAATCAAGTGCAGCATTCATAGGCAGAAGCCAAAGCTTCATCGCGCGCAGCCCTTGGCTCAGTTAGCTGAATCCTTCGACAGATATATCACCCCTCAGTGTCATAAAACACGTCAGCGTCGAAACGATGTTGAATTGCCAATCCAGAAACGTTGTCTGCCCAGTATGGGCACATCTGGCACTCAATAATTCTCTGTATCTCAGTGGGAATGAGATGCTGGCGAGTTTCACGGTCTCGAGTCTTTCGACAAACACCATATTGTCTGGGCAGCTCATCTCCAGTACTCACAGATTCATGATCCCGGAGAGCGTACAATCTCCTCGCTGACTGGCCTGAATCCTCCTGGCAATAGTCACTTCGCTCTGCATATTTCATTCGCCAGAACTGCCTTGGCATAGATCACGTTCGGGTGAGAACAACATCCCTTGTCCAAAACTTTCTTCGCCTTCCCATACTCTGGATGTGCTTCGACCCAGCTATGCAGTGGTGAATAAGGGCTATCGGGGATCACGTTGGGCCCTGTCGCGGCGGAAAGGCAAAGGCAGGCAAGCGCCAGTTGGAAGGTGAGGCAGTCAATGCCCTGCGCACCGCTCTTGCCATGAACTCGCCATGGGATTAAACAAGACTCAGCAGAATGGTACTCTTCCGGTGGTTGATCAAAGCGGAATGCGTTTCCAGATCGAGCTGTGCACGCATTCTGTTAAGCTATCCGCCGGTCTCGTTTATTGAACAATGTGCTTGGCTGTTTCCAGTTCGGATGACAGCCTTCGCATCTTGATAGGGACTTGGGCTGGCGATGGATGTCTGAAACAGATGGTTCGGTGCGAGGAAGCCAAGGTGCCGTAGTTGGGAGCACTTCATCCAGTCTTCAAACTTGAGACTTGCCCGAAAGAATTTGCTGACAAGGTGACTCATATTGTCGTCGTCGTTCAGGACACACTGGCCGGTAAGGCCTTGTGCGCAAGTTCTCGGGACACAGACCCCGAACAAGGGACGCTACCAAGGGCTCTCAATGGGAAAATACAAAAACCTTCCTAAGGCGCCATCACGACCTCTGAGGACGTGAGGTCTGTCCTTGGTTGACATCGTTGCGCGGGCCATCAGAATCCAGAAAATATATCGCAGACAGCATGTGAAGCTTCCGCGTGTACACTGACAAGTGGCCTCTCCCCCTTGACCCAACAAGGCCCAAACTTTGGGCGAGGTAAAGTTGCGTGTAGGTCCAAGGTTGGAGCGCCATTTTAACACCCCACCTGCACAAGTGGGGTGACCCCGCACTCAAGCTCAATAGCGGGGTAGTACCAACCCCGCTTGATTTAATGTGAAGTGTCAAAGCAACGATTGAGCCCATCTACATAACAAGAACTACATCAAACATCCTACATTCGACCGCACGATGGACACGGAACCGACGCCAGATAATCTCAACCCCGCCATCCTACGTTTTCTCGGCGCAGATGATCACAAACATGTCGAGGAGATGATCAAGTCTCAGCCGAAAGAGGTGAGTCCGAATCCGTTCACGCCCGTGCCTTCAACAAAAACACAGCACTACTTCACATCGAACCCGCCGAGGTGTATATGTGTGAAGAGAACGAAACGACCCAGGAGTCCCGAATTCGTCATGCCGGCCCCTAGCCGCCAATACTGTCATTACCACACAGGGTACGACGACAGAGCAGCCGTTCCCAGACGCATGCCGTGAGCGCATACCTTCTCCGTGCATGCGACTCTGGTGGCACAATATTCGGAACTGGGGAAGGTGATTCGGCAGGACTCAATGGGTAGTCTCGAGTTTGTTGCAAATGGCATACATTAGACCCTCGTCGTCTTCATAGCACCATTGACGCCGTCGTTGGGTATTCACATACCGCTGCTGGATGTAAGCCAATCCTTGCTGTCATCCTGCACGCTTCTTCAAAGTGAAAACTGTGTAAAGTGACGTTTACGTGAGTGAGCCAGCTGACGCTAGGTTATGCACCTCTTCACCCGGAGTCTCCTGTGAGGGCCTAGCGGGCTTGTGATAGCTTGTGTGGCTTGGCAGCATTTTGTCGGCCCGCACAGGATGTCCCAGCACGCTCTCCTAGGAAAAGAAATATCATATACCCGTGCCACGCCCCACTTCAGGTGATTTCGCATAAATGCTGCACCACCTAAAGGTGGTGCTGTACAGCAAAATGACGCACACAGCAAAATGACGCAGGTGACGATGTTTTTTGACCTAATGCCAACCACGCCACGGGCATTTGCTATAAACAATGTCTTCCTGCATAGTGATTGGTGTTTCGCACTCGCCGACACCGCTGTGACACTCCTGCTTGAACGTGGCGTCGGTGAGGCGCCGTTTCCTGCAGATTCTGGCGACCTCCTTGTGAGCCTTTTTTACAAGCGAAAGCCGTTTTTTCACGATAGCCTCAAGTCGACGACGTGCTACTGCTTCCTCGTCCTCCTGGACCTTCTGAACCATGCTCCGACCTTGTTCGACAGTTAAGACACCACCTGATTGAAGTTGTTTGTTCTTCATGGCTCCCGGGCCTTTCTGACGTTCTCCGCGTGACGGGTCTTGGAAAGGTCGGTTTTCACCTGAATTAGCTCCGCCACCGAAGTAATCGCTGCCTTCATAATGCGCTCAATATTGACCTCAATCTCGGCTGTGAGTTCCTTGTTTCTGAGGTCCCTTTTGAGCCTTCTGGCGACCTTAGAAACCTGTCGAATGGTGACAGGTGTACCGACTGGCGATGACCCTGATTGGACCGGAGACGGCGTGCGAGGAAGCCGCTGTTGGAGCTGCTGAAGTACGACGAGGGGGTTGTATGGCCAAATGCCCGATTTCTTGAACGCTGACTTGATGGTGGCCGGCTTGAAGGCCTGCTTGCGAACAGCCTCAATGTATCCGAGGAACTCGAGCTTCGTGATCTCCCCTACACCGCTACGGCAGAGCTCGTCGACGGCGATACCCTGATAATGCTTCAATGGCTGAAACACAGCAACGTCAAGAGGCTGCAGAAGGTGTGTCAGGTGGGGTGGCAGCCCGAAGAGGATAATGTTGTTCATATTGCAGTACTCGATAACCTCACTTGTATGGTGCGAGCCATGACCGTCAATGATTAACAACCGGTGGCTTCCAACTGCCTGGCCTTTTGTATGGCGGTTGAAGTGCTGGATCCAGGCGAACGCAAGCTCGTCGTTTGTGAAGCCTGTCTCTGATGTCGCGATGCAGGTGTTGGGGTGTAACTCCGGCTGGCAGTACCACCGTGCCATATGACGGACCCCAGAGAGTATCAGGAACGCCGGGATGACAGCGCCTGCCGCCGACACTGCCTCTATCCCTGTTGCTGCCTCACGGTTCTCTGGTAGGGAGATATGGTGCTTATAGGCCTTACTTCGTTTAGTGACGATAACGTCGTTAGAGCCGACTCCGAGACGGAACCCTGTTTCGTCCATATTCCAGATATCTTCGGGTAGGATACCTTTGTCGAGCTGTATCTTCAGCTTCACGAAGAATTCGTTAACGCGACTGATATCTGTCGTGGCGCAGCCCGCTTATCGAGCAGTCGATTCGCCATTTCTCCAAGCTCACTTAGCCGAGGAGGATATGCTCGCGCATCCAAGTCGAGAATATAGTCGACAATCGTCTGCTCCTCTAGCTCTGTTAATTTCATCGAATTTGGTAGGCTATCGCGTCGAGAAGGCGTCCCCTTATAGCGGCGGGTAAGCGTTGTTCGAGAGACGTTGTAGATTGCAGCTGCGCGGCGTATAGAAAGGGAAGGATCACGGTCCATAGCTTGAAGTGCGAGATTCAATTGGTTATCTTTAGAAGGGGTCTCCATGGCTGGTTGTTGAGTAAGATGTGTTAGAAGATGGAATTCTAGTGAAGTGATGGAGGTGGCCCACTCGCTATGCTGGCCCACTCGCTATGCATTTACGTTACGATATGCCAGACGCCTGCGGGATGTTGCTGTGCAGCTACCCTTCTACTTTCTGATCTACTCTGATGTAGTAGAAACTGTTGCGTGCGTATTTCCTTTATGAATTAAAATTACGTTGATGCTTATATGTTGCAGAGATAGATCCTCTGGCTTTAATATATCGTCGTTGAAGCGTATCGCGTCGAACATCAGGCGGCAGTCCCCCCCTAAACTTGTTACTGCCTGCAATGAGCTCGCAGACTTGGCAATATTAGTAAGCGAAGGGCGAACTCAGGATACACAGGGTCTAGGTGCGAAAGTACGAGAATATCTACTGGCTGAGGGGAGCCAGCCGACAGCTTAGATAGATTGACCTTGTCTCTATGCAATATGCGTATTAAGTACCGATACATCTTTAACGCTGCACTTCTGATTCTTGAATAAAGAGCTTCCCATCGCTGCCAGGTGCTGTACATTACGGCTTATCGCTGTTCATCGCCGTTGCTCGCTGTTTGTTGCTGTTAGATGTGTCTCTTTGTGGCT